CTCACCGCTGCCTAGAGCATACTTAAATTATGGAGGGAACACTTCTCCAGCCTGCTGAATGGCAGTGAACGCACAACGCCAGGAGAAGGCGAACCCGATTCCCCAATCGATGATGATGGAGCAGACGATCCATTGCCCGACCATGAAGAAGTTCGAATAGCAATTGCCCGCCTGAAAAATAACTAAGCGACAGGATCCGATGGATTGCCGGCCGAGCTATAAGAATTTAAGTGTGCTATGCCCAATCCACAAAAGGAGAGATCCAACAATCTGCGCCAACTACCGTGGGATAAGTCTCCTCAATATCGCATATAAGGTTCTATCGAGCGTATTGTGTGAAAGATTAAAGCACACCGTCAACAAACTGATTGGACTTTATCAGTGTGGCTTCAAACCTGGAAAATCAAAAACCGACCATATATTCACCATGCGGCAAATCTTGGAAAAGACCCGTGAAAGGGTCGACAAACACCACCTCTTCGTTGATTTCAAAGCTACTCTTGACAGCACGCAAAAGAGCTGCCTTTATGCCACGATGTCTGCATGTGATATCCCCGCAAAACTACTAATACGGCTGTGTAAACTGACGTTGAGCACCACCAAAAGCTCCGTCAGGATCGGGAAGGACCTCTCCGAGCCATTCCATACCAAAAAAGGTTTCCAACACGGCGACTCCCTCTCGTGTGGCTTTTTTATTCTGCTGCTGGAGAAAATAATTCGAGCTGCAGAACTTAATCGAGAAGGTACAATCTTTTACAACAGTGTACAGCTGTTGACGTTTGCCGATGGTATTGATATCATTGGCCTCAACACCAGCACCGTCAGTTCTGCTTTCCCCAGACTGGTTAAGGAAGCAAAGAAAATGGGTCTGGCAGTGAACGAGGGTAAGACGAAGTTTCTCCTGTCATCAAACAAACTCTTGGCTCTCAGGTCATTGTTGACAGTCATAACTTTGAAGTCGTAGATAATTTCTTGTATCTTGAAATCAGCGTAAACACCACCAAATTTGTCAGCCTGGAAATTCAGCGCAGAATATTTCTTGCCAACAGGTGTTACTTCGGACTAAGTATGCCACTAAGAAGCAAAGTCCTCTCTCGACGAATAAAAACCAAACTCTATAAGTTAGTCATAATTCCCGTTATGCTATATGGTGCAGCCATGGTGCTATATGATGACAAAAACTGATGAGTCGACGTTGCGAGTTTTCGAGAGACAAGTTCTGCGCTAAATTAGCGGTCCTGTGCGCGTTGTCCATGGCGAATTCGATGGAACTATATGAGATATATGAAAACATTGACATAATTCAGCGAATTAAGAGACAGCGGCTACGTTGGCTAGGTCATATTGTCCGAATGGACGAAAACACTCCAGCTCTGAAAGTATTCGACGCAGTAGGAAAAGGAAGAACTGAACTCTGTTGGAAGGACCACGTGGAGAAGGATTTGACTTCGCTCTGAATATCCAACTGGCGCCACATAGCGAAAAGAAGAAACGACTGGCGCGCTGTTGTTAGCAAGGCTATAATAATAATAAAATAAATTGAATAAAAAAGTTTTAATAATATAAAAGAACGGACTAGCGTGCGGTTGTTAACTCGGCATTAATCGCGTAAGCGGTGTCTACGCCAGTAAAAAAGAAGAAGAAAACACACATAAATACACAAATTAAATTCACGTTTGTAGGAGTCATTTGAATATAACATAAAATATAACAGTAAGTTTCGAGCCGAAGGTCCAGGCAGCCAGTGCTCCTTTTATCGTGTAAATAATAATTGTATTATTTTTTTCACATTTATAAATAAATAAACAATAAGTTTTTATTTATAGCACTATGTGCTTTATTTCAAACAGAGTAATTAATTCTATTGTTAGTTATTATTAAGCTAAGCTCGAGCCCTATAAGTGCCTAGTCAATTCCAATAATAATTGAAAGAGCGGATGCGCATTAAGCTAAGAGTGCAATAGGATTCTCAATTGTAAGTTGCCTCCTAACTATGCAGACATTGTTGTCAGCGAATTTATGTTGTGTTAACTCCTCCCTCCGAAATTCCAATCGTCCCCGATTTTTACTAAAAAGGGTCCATTTAAATGTCTCGTTATATTATTACTTATTGTTAAATTTTCTTGAAAGTTATTTAGTAAAATTAAACTTGCTTTTAGTTCTTCAATGTTTCTTACATGCTCAGTATTTGTAATAATATAATCATAAGGTTTGTTTCCCATCAAATTTTTAATACAATTTTCGTTTTGTAAATCTTCAGTTTGGTCTTGTTTGAATATGTTTACATTATTTATTTGTTTACAATAATTTTTTACTCCATAGTAATTTTCATTACATTTCAAAATGTTTTCAAATTTTAGTTTCACAATTGTTCCATGTCTGCTTATTGGTTTTATTAAAATGCAATTAAAGATTTCATTCATTGTTTTTGGTGCTTTTATTACATAAATTAGTAAATTTTGTTTCAACCGATTTGAATATTTGCAAAGTTTAATGATTCTTATAAAGAATCAAACGGAATGCTCTCTTCAATAAATATGTCATTTATCTTTTGAGCTTCTTCATTCGATATTATGAAATTGTTTACAATGTTTGCTTTGGCAAGATGTATTGCTCTGTTAATGTTTTCAATTTCTTCTTTTATTATATCAATTTTAAATTTATACTGAAGTATTAGTGAGGTTCGAAATTCATTGTTATTTTTTAGTGTTTTTAATATGCTCTCGGCTTACTTGGGTAATATTTTTAATTCTTTCAAAAACGTTTCTATTAATTACTAGCTGTTGATTATTGTTTTCTATGATTTCTTCGAATTTACTACTGATCGCTACAAGGTCATCATGGTCTCGATTTCCCGCAATCCGTTCCCATGCTGATCCTATAAAATTTAATGACCTCTTCACTCTATATTTTGGTGTTATATTGTTGATAGTAATATTCGTTATTTTAGTTTTAATGTTTTATATAAATAGATTATATAATTGCAGCAAACCCATAGACAATTAAATAAAATACTCCTTGGAATATTAAATTCAAAATTCAAATAGATATTAATTTATTTTCACTTTACGTTTACACACGCGCGCCCACTAATAACACAATAAAAAACATATGCATATGTACACAAAAATTGCGTATTCTCTCCAGTTAATTTCATCATTGGAGACTTTTGCCTATTCCTTCTTACATTAGATTTACAGTGGTCATGTTCAACACGCCTCCTCAAAAGTTTCAATGAAAAAAAAATTTAAATGTTATTCAAGAGTTACAAAATTTCTTATACGACGATCATGTGCTTTCTGGGGAGATACAATTATGCATGGTCCCGCATTTGCTGCAAAGGATTAGGGAAACCCAGTAAAGCCTCATCAGACCATTCAAAATTAGTAATACTAATAATTAGACCTAATAATATAAA